TACTATTTAAAAATCAATCCAGGTCTAACTACGTCCTTTAAAAAGCTCATTTCACCCTGCAATCTCCTAAAGTTATTATTGTCCTATAGTTCTCTTATAAAAATGTGTCTACTTGTTACATACAGTTCCTCACCTTTTTCCCAGACATATCTTTTAATCCTACATTCTACCGATACGGATTTCTCATATGGAAAATGAGCTTGAGGAAATGGCAAACCAATCTAGTATCTTTGCCAGGAAAAACCCAAATGGGGTCACAAAGAGTCTGACATGACTGAAAATCACTGAACAACAACTAGAATTATTGCTTAGTTGTTAAATCTGATGGCCTTTTCTCAATATTTGGCCTACTTTATCTCTCTGTGGTTTCTGACACTTTTCTCCACACCTTCCTTCTTGATCCTTCCTTGGCTTCCACATCATTCTTCTCTCCTCATTTTCTTTCTCCTTGTCCTTTCTAGCCTCTCTACAACAATCATTTCCTGCCTACTCTACAGGAGCCCTCTTCTCCTTTTTCTCTATACTTTTATTCAGTGATCTCACTGGCTCCTATGGATTCTGTTCTCATCTTAAGCAATGACTCCTAGGTCAATATGTTTGGTCCTATTGTTTTGCCTGAACTGTAGACCAAAACAGACAAGTACCTACTAAACATTTCCTCCCAGATCCTATTGGGATCTAAAACTCAGCATGTCAAAAATGAAAATCATTACCTTTCCCTTCTCTCTTTGGGCAACAGCCTCCTAACTATCTCCATGCTTTCAGGCTTTGCTTTCTTTATCCATTCTCCACACAGTGAACAAATGAACATCCCTAAAGCACAGGACCATTTAACACCTTTGTTCAAAAATCCTTAGTTACTCCCTACTGCTTACAGAATAAAATTCTAACCTCACAATCTAGCTCCCATCTACCTTTTCAGCCTTTTGTCATATTTACTCCCCCTTCACACATTCAGCATTTTAGCCAATCTGGACTAATAACTATTCCAACTCAACATTCCATCATTCCTCTCTGTGCATTCACACATATTATCCCTTATCTCTGGAATGCACTCTCTTCATTTCTACCTTTCATAGTCTTTGTCCTACTTTAAGGATTAGTTTAACTGCCACTGCCTACATGGAGCCTTTCAGATTTCCCCAACTGATAGTCCGTTTCCGTTTCCTCAAATTAGCCTGTATTTACATATTTGTATTCATATCCTATCCCACTGCAGATTATAAGCTTCTTGAGGGAAGTAATTTTTTTTTATTTTTGCTTTTCCTTTTTATCTGCAGTGCTTAGCACAGTATCTTATACACAGTAGTTTAATAAATGTTTGTGAATTGAAATTAAAGAGCTCTCAGAACTAGTTAATAAAGAATATAATTTTAATTATTTAATGAGAGTCAAGTTAACAAGGTACCATTTAAATAATATATTTATTCTACAAATAAATATGATGCATTAGAAACACACAGTAATTTCCTAACATCAATTATAAGAAATGTAATAACAGTGTTGGTAGATAGATTTACTTTCCAACAGCCTTAAAACCTTGTCAAATATAGGTTTCATCAGTATTTTAAATTTCAAACATTATAATATTTTCCTGTTTATTTACTTTGGTGGCATTAAACTTAAGTAATCCAGTAAATAAAGGCAACTTTTCCCCAAATCTAATAGTGTGTGTCTATCTGTCTGTCTCTGCATAAGCATATGTACATATGTACATGAAGGCATTTTTCATTTTCAAAAAAATTGCTTTTAGATTGAAAAAAGTTTCTAAAGTATCAATCAACAATTTTTACTGATCACTTAATATGAGCAGCATAATCTGCTAATTACTAAAAGGACCTTGAGTCATTTCTACTGAGGTCCTTTAATATTTATTACTGTACTACCTCAATATATGTATCTTTACATTACTAAAGTTTAATATTAATACTCTAAGCCACATAATATTAGGTTATAATAAAGAATATTTTAACCTTAACCCGGAGAGAATGCTGTTATTAATAATGCTTATGTGTCACATTGCTTATATATTACATACATATGCATATATAATGTATTTGCAATAAAAACTACAATCATAAAGAATAAAAGAGGTTACAACTAGATTTTTATTTCAAATTGTTTTTGGAAAGCTATGAGACCTACCTGTATTAACCCACATTATCTTTTGGCAAGGAAATTTGACAATAATAAATATATTTGGCTTTAGTAATATTCCTGTAACTGTTTTATAAGCTTTATAACCATAAAGATAATCCATTTACAATGTGGAAAATATGAAATGAAATAAAACCTGGTTAGGCTTATTTGTTTAATAGAGAGAAATATACAATATAAATACACCTGAAGACATAAACCTAATGAAACACTAAGGTTACAAAAGCAATACTGGTACAATAAAAGAAATTTGTCTAGAAGATTCTATCTCCTCTTGTTCAGGGAGAATTATAGGTAATATATTAAGAAAAGTCCAAAGCAGCCCCATCTCTTTGATCAGGAGAGAGAAGAGAGTTAGTTCAGAAGAAGAGAATATAGAATACAGTTTTTGTACCAGTTCTGGAGGCAGAGATGTTCACAATACTGCAGAGATAGATAATGGGGGATCATCCTATCAAAAGAAGGGTCTTTATTAACCTTCAAAAATGATATTTTTTTTTCTTTTAAACTAATTAACATAGGCTTCCCTGATAAATGTAATAAGCAAGAGGACATATTTTCTAGACAATCTTGGGAGCTTGTGACAAAAACTACAGTACTACAATCTTCCCCTAAAAAATCCCTTACCCCCAGGTCCAGACTTACTTTCAGGGTAGCACCATGTTGGAAACTGGTTGGATATTAATGGTCATGGAGAATTATGACCATTAATATTCAACCAGTTTCCAAATTTCATAGACTCTTCCTTTGTTGAGTCTTCTCATACCGGAGCATTTCTGTTCAATCCCCTACTGTTATCCTAGGTAAGAACTTTTTTTTTTTCATTCCTAGTAAGACGGGAAGTAGGAGGGGGAGTTAGGGGAAAGATAATGGATTCCATTTTGGACATATTGAGTTTAAAATGTCTACTGGACATCCAGTTCAAGATGTCTGAAAGGTAGTTGGAGATGTGAGACTGGAGGTCAGCAGAGAGATTATGACAGGATGTTAGATTTGAGAATCATAGCATAGAGATGGTAATTAAATCAATGGGAGCTGATGAGATCACTAAGTGAAGTAGCATAGAGGGAAAAAAAAAAAAAGAGGGATCAAGGTTAGAATCCTGAGGGACACCTACAATTAGAGGGCATGACCTAGAAGAGAATCCAGCAAAGGAGACAGAGGTGTGGTTAGCTAGGTAGGAGAAAAACCAGGAGAGAACAGTGTTCCAAAAACCTAGAGAGAAGAAAGTATCAAAGAGAAGAGAATGATCAACAGTGTCAAAGACTGCAGAGAGGTCAAAGAGAATGAGAGTTGACAAAAGGCCATTGGATTTCGCAACTAAGAGATCATTAACTGCTTCAGAAAAAGCAGTTTCAATGGAATAAGATTGGAAGCCATATTGTAAGAGGTTGAGAAGAGAATGAGAAGAGAGAAAATGGAGGTAGTTACTGCTGACAGCCTTTTTGAGGAATCTGACTACAAAGGGCAGAAGAGATATAGGATGCTAGTTAGCAGAGATGGAAGGATCAACTGAGAATTTTTTCAGGATAGAAGAAATACGGGCATGTTTGCAGACAGTAGGAAATTAGCCAGTAGAGAAGGAGAGATTGAAAATAAGCAAAAAAAGTGAGGATGATAGGGCACAATCTATTGAAGGAGATGGAATGGAATAGGATCATTTGAACAAGTAGAAGAGTTAGCCTTGTTAAACAGTAAGGCCACTCCATCACGTGAAATGGCAGCAGAAGGCACCTGAGGAAAGATGGAGAAGGGAGAAAAGGGAATTCAGAGCAAATGGCCTCAATGTTTTCAGTAAAATATGGGGCAAAGTTCTCAGCTGAGAGAGTGGGGGGAAAGTGAGCCATGAGAGGTTGGTATGGAAGAGCTCCTGAGGAGAGCAGGATAATGAGTTGATAAGGGAGTATGTATAATAGGATTATCTAGTAGCTGTGAGGGCCCAGTTGAGATTTATGTAACATAAATTTGTAGTGGACCCAGTCAGAATGATTATGTGATTTTCTCCATCTTCATTCAGTAGCATGTCTGTTGGAATGAAGGTAATGGATGTTGGTAGTGATCTAAGGCTGAGGCTTGACTGGTTAGCAGTAATATGATAAGGAGGCTAGGGATGATTCCAGAGAGGAGTACAGTATACAGTTGAATTGGTTCACTAAGAGGTCAAGTTGGGTTGAGAAAAGAGGAGAATGGCTAGTACAGGGGAGATGACCTGGGAAAGAAATGAGGGCTAAAGACATTTGAGGTCATGGTGCAGACAAGTAGGGTTTTATAAGGGAAGACAGGGAAAGAAGTGAAAAGCCAATAGATGATGGTTGGATAGAAGGATTTCAGAATTCTTAAACACATAGATGGTACCAGAAGATTTGCCACCAATTAGTGGATTTTTTAAATTACACCAATTCATGGAGATAATTTACTATAATAATAATAACTAGCATTTATACAATGCCTTAAAGTTTGAAAAATGCTTTTTATTAAGCATATTAATATGCTAATATTAATAAGTTATTATTTGATCCTCCTAATAATACTGTAAGATTAAGGCTATTAGTATCTCTATTTGATGTATGAGGAAACCATATCTAAGTAAAGATTTGAGGCAAGATTTGAACTCAAGTCTTCCTGAATCCATGTCCAGTACTATATCCAGTACAGGACCTACCTGGGTTGTGTTCTAACGCTGGTAGGTGCTATTCTCATATCATGGAAATAACGAATCCTTAAAAAATTGACCCTTGAAGTAAAAGTATTGGTAGGTGACTCTGACTTTATTACTTTTAAAGAAAAAGGAGGCTAAATTTTAAATGATCTTTTAATATAAAGACAGATGAAATGTTACTTACCTAAGTGCAGAGAAAGTGAATCCTTTTAAACCATCTTTGCACCTAAAACATTAAAATTTTACTATTATAAATGAGTATACTATGGGAAATAACCATATCATAAATAATTATTAATAATGCATATACCTCATTTATATATCACATACATTATTTACATATCATACATTATTTAATTTATATATTCTCATTTATATATCACATACGTTATTTCATTTGATTCACACAATGACCCTCTACTTTACAGGTGGATGAAACTGAGATTGACAAAAGATAAGTGACCTGCCCACAGTCTCAGAGGTAATAAGTATCTGAGGTGGTATCCAAATGTTTTCTTAATGTTTGAAACTCTCTAGGTTTTCTTGACTGCAAGTCTGGCATTTTATTAATTTGACTACTGTTTCCTCTCTTAAAATGTAAATGTGAAATTGCTCCTTTAGAAAAAAACTATTAATGGGGCAGCTAGGTGGCGAAGTGGATAGAGCACCAGCCCTGAAGTCAGGAGGACCTGAGTTCAAATCTGGCCTCAGACCAAACACTTGATACTTACTAGCTGTGTGACCCTGGGCAAGTCACTTAACCCCAATTGCCTAAAAAAAAAAAAAAAAAAAAAAAAAGGAAAAGGAAAAAAAACTATTAATGAAGTATGGAATAACTCTTTACAAACTGGTACAGCAAAGAATGAACAACGAATCAAAATTACATCTTATAGTAACAGTAATAGCTGATATTTATAGAACATCCTAGGGTTTACAAAGTGAAGATATACATAATCTCATTTGATTATCACAACTCAAGAAGCCAGTATTGCGAGAGATAGTATCATCCCTACTTTACAGAAAAGGAACCTGAATGGCTGGCAGACTTGTCCAGGCTAATACAGTTTCTAACTATGGAGAGGGGCAGGATTTGAGCCTCATCCTTTCCAAGCTCCAGGTCTAACACTCTTAAATACATTTCCACTTAGAAAGCCAAAATAATTTAGAACCTAACCTACAGGCTGAAGAATGACTCATTTGGGGCAATTTTCTCCATTATTTAAAGTAGGAGAGCAGTATTTTCACTTTCAAGCATTCGCATGATAAGGAAGGAATCAGGCCCCGTATACTCATGGGGAATTTTGTAATCCAGATCTGGGGCACCTAATGCCCCAACTATTCCTTATTTAATTCCTTGAATACATAGAAATGTCCAAATGGACAGCCATATATAACGGGCCTCTGGTTAAGCTCAATAGTTCTTATCTCCAAATGAGAAAAGGCAAAGCAGATAAAATAAGATAAAGAAGAATAAGGGAGAAGAAAGGTCTTCTCCTAGCTTATAACTAAGGAATACACATATCCAGTGCACAAGGTAGATTCAAACTACTAATTATAAGGTCAGAAATCTCTTTCATAAAACAGCATTCTACTAGACTAGAGCCTCATTATAATACGATGATTGGGATCTTTCCAGCAAACATATTTCCTCAGCCAAAAGTCAGGTGATAAAATCTGACAAAGGATATTACTTTTGTAAAAGTACATTAAAAGTACATTTCTTTTTTTGAAATCAGGCCAGTCCCAGAAGATCCAGTAGATAAAGTCATTAAATGAGGCTTGATGGTTATAAAGCTGTTTAGTACTTTAGAAACTATACTCCTTACATATAGCTATAACAAATGGTATTACAATGATATCTACTTTAATTAACTTTCAAGAAGTTAGATATTCCAAAATGAAAATCACTAACTTCTCTCATCCCCTCTCCCACTCTTTACACTTTAATATTATGAGAAAAATAATTTGAAATCTAATTATAAATTCTTTCAGTAGCTTTTATATATTGATCATTACCAAAAAATGCAATGAAATTAATTCAAGGGAAAGCTAAGTTAATAATTTTTCACTAACAAAATATTTTAAATAAGGGCAAGACATTTTAGAAATTAATTTTATCTATGAAAGCACAGAAATTTTTTTTAATCCATAAGAAATGCTATCTAGTTGAAACCATACTATGCATTTTTAAGCTTTTATCAAGTAAAAATAATTCATTTAAAAATAATTGACTTAGTTTACCCACACTGCACAGAATGTATTTCATACACTACAGCTACACACAATGAGGGAAGAAAATGGGAGAAGAGGTAGGAAATTATATATATATATATATATATATATACACACACACATGTATGAACGTATGTATGTATGTGCATACAAAACCAAAAAGTTGAAATATTAGCATTAAAAAACCCCAGTAAATTCAACTTTTCCCTGAAGTAGGATTTGTATATCATAGTCAAAATTTGTAATTGGGTAAACTTCTGAGAAAGAATGCTAAGTGAGCCAGAGGTCTACTGATATGAAAACAGAAAGCAGGAAGGTGATTAAATGATTACCTGGGAACAAAATATGTTTTGGTAAGTTACTGTTAAAAGATAGCAATTTATCAGGATAGAATCCTGAATAAAGGATTCTGGCAAGTAAGTCCAGATTTGTGACCTTAAACAATGAATTTAATTGCTGTTCAAGACATCAAAAAGTACCTTTCAAAAATAAAAAGGGCATCTACAAATGAATTTGCAATTTCATTATAATGGAAGCTTGGTTCTTTTTACAGGACCCTGTGGGAAGTGCTTCATATTGGGAAAGTCTGAGGACTTTCAAAGGGGACTATTCTTCTTTCCATTCATGTGCATAATGTCCCATAATGTAATTGAGGGTCAGATGTCTAACTCCAAGAGAACAAAAAAAGTAATTATTTCTAACAAAAAAAAAATTTTAATCTTATATGGCTCTGCCTTTAGGAGCAACTTCTGACCACATATGTGATGTGGTACAACTTAAACAAAGTTGTGTGATATTAGATGTAAGAACCACTACTATGTTGCAAAAGGTCGTTATGAAATGCCTTATGATGCCATAGATTTGGTTATATTTGATTTAAACCAGGTTTCCTATTAGCACAATGTTGTATAGTACACATCTCTCTCCATGCACTATAACCTGAAAGGCTATAATAATGTCTTTCCCCAACATCAGTTTTGTAATAAGACGCTACTATAATCACATATAAGACAAGATTTAAAATATTCTTTAAAAAATCTGACTCAATTACATTAAAAATTACATTTCAATTTATAAATGTGAACATAAAAAAAAAAACAAAAACCTAAAACATCTACCAATGCTAGAATCTGGTAAGACATAAATTAATTTGAAGTCTCTAGCTTTCCTTCCTTCCTGCCCTCATTTGTTCAGAAAATATTTATTCAGTGTCTCCAATATCATGGAACTATTCTACTGTCAAACAGCATAATAAAACAAAAGCATAGGAAATGGTGGAAAAGAGGTTATAGCTTTAAATATCAAATAGAAGGGAGATATAATAATACAACATGCCCCCAGTAGATGTCCCCAGTAAACTATTATTGAAAGCATATGTAGTTCTAATTCCAAATTAAAAAGAAAAACAAAAGAAACCTTCTCTGTAAACTTTTCCTTCAAAAAATATATCCCTAAGTATTGTAAATGTTGCTATGCTTAATCAAATCATTTAAGTTTCTGAAAAATACAGATCTCTTAATATTAAATCCAAAAGATGGAGATAAAAGTTGTTCCTAGATTTTATTATTTCATAAAGTATTAAAATGCTCTAAGACAGTGATTCTTAACCTGGAGTCTGTTAACTTTTTTTTTTTTAGATATTTTGATAACTGTATTTTAATAAATGATTGGTTTCCTTTGATATCCTATGTATTTTATATCTTCCATAGGCTTCACTGGATTATTCAAGGGTCCACAAAACAAATAAAAAAAAAGTTAAGAACTCCTGCTCTATAAGTTTCAGCATATTTTTACCCAAAAGTTGAAATAAGATTCAACATGATATTTTACTATACGGTCTTGACTACACAGATGATTTTCTCAAAACATCTTATGTGATATATTATCAAATCTTAAGCATAAGATTTAGAGCAGGAAAGGAACTTAGAGGTTGTCTAGTCCAATTTCCTCATTTGACAGATGAGGAAACATGGAATAAGCAAAGCGAATAGATCTGCCCACAATTACACACATAGTCTTAAGTAGCAGAACTGGAATTGGAACCCAGGTCCTATGACTCCAAATCCAGCAATCTTTTCACTAAGCCACATTGCCTGCCTCTAATCCCTCCTCACTTTAAACTAATTTGGCATGAAATGCATATGATGGCATACATCTTTTAAAAGGCAACCAGACAATTTCTTTCAGATGTGGTGTAAAACAGCTGTAGAAAACAACACTGGAAGGGAAGTGAGAAAACTTAGGTTCTAGTCCTGGCTCTGGTACTAACAGTCTTGGGTATGCGATCTAACCTCAGTCACTTCTAAAATGTGTAGGCTGGAGTTGAGGGTAAAAAGCTAGAATAATTGCAAATCTATCATCTAGTCCAAACTGCTCATTTTATTTTGTGGTTTAGTTACTTTCCAGACTAGAGCCTCAGGCTTATGGCTGCCAGCATGCCTGGAATGCATGTTCTTCCTCTTGTCACTTCTGCAGATTCTAAGCTTTTAAGGTCTAACTTCAGTGACACTTCTAGTGGAAGACTACAAGGATCTCCTTAGTTAGGATGTTCTTCTTCCTCAAATTATACTATATTCCTTTACCTGTAAATCCCCTCAGAAGACTCTAATACCTTGAAGGCAGTAAAATTTTGTTATACTCCATATGTACTAAAGTGTTTTGCATGTACTGGGTGCTTAATACATGTCTGCTACATGAATCCTTATTTTATATAACACACCACGTTGCCTTTTAAGGGTCTTTTCAACTCTGAAGTTCTAAGAGAGTAGGTGTTTCAGAGTAAATTTAAGGATTTTTTATTATTATTTATAATCTCGGGGAATGACAGTTTTAGCTATAATAAGTTAATATCTAGACAGATCTGATCCATAACGGATAATAATATTTAGTAGGTGATATTTGTATAACAACATAAGAAGAAGAGGCAATATTAAGAACTGATTCTTCACAATGTAATATAGTAAAATGAATTTCTCCAAAATATTTATCAACAAT